TTAGTTAATAGGCCTACTATATTTACTTATTTGTAAAATTAACTTTTCAAACCCAACACCTTCCTGATCGCACTTTTAATTATTTATTGGCATTACAGTCCCTTTAGGAGCAGTGGTACACCCCTGTACAGTGGTACATCCATACATAATACAATTATGTAACACTTATAAAATAACAAAAATTAGAATAAAATTCAAAACTAATGTATATGTAATGTATACTGAACGATCTAATTAGTGAAAGATCTACTGGTATTTTCTTTGTTTTTTTTCTGCAGTACTGTCTGTCAAAATATACTTTTGTGTGGTTAGCAAATAAACTTAAGTCAATATTTGACTTACCAAATAAGTTAGCTTTGATTTAGAGTATGAGAACATTATTTACCTTTTTGAACAAATGCATAAATAATAGCATTCCAGTATTATTGGCTAGTAATCAGAATTGTTTATAGTATAAAGATAAGATAAGCTTTATTGTCATATTCCAAACAAGTGAACTATGAAATTACAATCTTGATGCTTGATAAATAAAAGAACAAGAAGCTTGCTAGATACTAAATCAGTAAATACATAAAATACATTTAATTTATTATTTACATATCGATACATTAGTACTAAATTCTGTAAATCAGCAAAAACTGAATTGTTTTCACAATATTTGCCCCACTGAAGGTTGTTTTTGGTTCTATCTCTAATTCTACAACATTAAGGGCATCTATAAAATAATTTACTTTCAATTTTATGATGTAGTAATGATCGTATGCGTCAACTACCTAATAACCTATTATTTAGTTAAAATGATGGTGTTGATTATTATGATTCTAATTTTAAAAAAACTTTGTTCCGTTATTTAAATGTTTCCATTTCTTTAAGGTTTGTTCTCCGTCTTTACAGAATTGAAATTAAATTATATATTGAATTGAATTAAATATATAAATAGTAAAATTCAAAGCCTCCTTTCCTCACCAATAATCAATTCATTCTTAAGATTACTCCATTGTTAGCTATTTAGCGTCATTCGTAGTCTCATGCTTAAAAAATATATGTAACAATTCTCAGATCCTTTCCTTGTTCATCATATGTTCCTGATATGATTCAATACACAACTTAATCATCTAAATACTTTATTCAGCTACATAAACTAGAACACATACTCATGCGAAGAAATTATATTAAAAATGTTATGATCCAAGAAACAATTTTCATTAACCAGTAGAATATTAAACATGCAGAATGCATTTCAGGATGATCAGGCTGTACGTGCGGTCATTAAAATGCAATCACAAAGCGTGTACTGTACATGCAATGCAAGTGAAATACCATTTTTGCTTTGGAATGGGCACGGACAACTAGAAAATACGAATACATTAATCATCACGTCTGACGGTCACTGGCCGAAACAGATGGAAGGATTTAATAACAGGATATTGTGGTTTAATTTACAATGGAGGGAAAGAATGAACTACTATTACAAGATCAATAAAAAAAAAATATTATTTATTCAGTTAAGTTGATTTAATACTATACCATTGTCTACCAATGGGGCTTAGATTTAAAGTTACCAAAAGTATTTACTGATTATTTTAAAATGATGTTGGCTATTAGCCAGTCCTTCAGAGAATTTGACAATATACACATACTGATCTGAATGCATCAAAAAAATCATTGTTTTACATTGAAATTCAAGGTTATAAATCATAGTAAAGATACTAGAAACACAAGATAGAACTCTCCACATAAAAAACTGTATCATCGAATTGCATGATGGGTATACTGCATAAGTTTGTTTATTTCCCATCGCACGCAGACAGGAGATAAGCAAACTTACGTAAATTACGTAAAAGATGTGACAAAAGATGTATATCCGTTTAATTCTTTCTATGTGGGAGTTCTATCTTGTGTTTCTAGTATCTTTAATCACTGATATATTTTTTGAATACATAATATTAATACATATAACTAAGCAACTCAACACATTAAGAGCAACTTAACACATTAAGTAACTTGACTTCCCACAAGTTTAATTATATAGGGAACAGTAAATTGGCCTGTTAAAGCTGTAAGAATTTAATCAACTTTAATTGGTATGCAGAATGCCCTAAAGAAGCATAATTTAAGTTCCCTCTAGCAACATTCGTCTTCCAAGGGATTGACATAATAAATACAGTAATAACAAACATTTCAGCATTATCTATGTATGAACAACTAGGCAGGTAAAATTTCTGCCCATGTGGTCAGAGTAATATTTAGGTATGGAAATTTAGTATTTAAGACTAAACACCTTGAACAAAGATTTTTGCAAAAATATTGTTTACATACCTTGCAGCTGGGTCTATTGCAATACCCCTAGGGTTAGCCAACCCATTCGACACGATGGTTAAACAGTGATTATTGTCATCACGGCCGGTGCATATAAATATCCGTTCTGATCGACTGTCCACAAAGTAAAAATTACCAGTTGTCCATTCAATAGCAAACTGTTCAACCCCTGAAAGACAAAATCATGAAACCATTTAAAATACATTTCACATGTAAAGTACTATAGCAAGAACTTGTTCGCAACCATAGACATGAATGCTTGATTATTTGGGCGCTACAGATGCTTGCAGTTATATGTTATTCTTTCGAACTATAAGTTGTGCTACCAGGGCCACAACTGCATACATGAATAAACAAGAACCTCCTTCCTTGATGAAAGAGTGGGGGATTAAAAACCTGTCAATTTCTATAATCTTTTAATTTTCTTTTTCATCTTCAAATATTATCGCCAATGAAGTGACCAAGCATAATATCATGCAATTTAAATTTCACAAGTCCTACAATGAATCATCTTTCATCGTGGGATGGTAAGCTTCAATATTATCAAGTCACTTTTCAGGCTTTAATTAGTGTTAAATTTAAAATTACATGCAGCCATGCATGATCAAAGTGAGCCCGCTCTTCGTGGGATCATGTTAGACATAAATTAGCAACATCTGGCTGACTACCATCAAATGTTCGAATTAATTTATTTCAATTCATTTTACATTGAATCAAAAGCTTTGATGTAAAATGTTGGAAGAATACCATGAAAGATACGAAAGGTTACAATAATCTGTTAAAGACCTTTGCAATAGGCATTTGTTCCAATGATTGGAGCTCACCTATTGCAGAGGCTTTGTACCACCGGTATAGTATTATTATAATTATTACAGCTCACATAACTCATAAATAAAAACATTAGTAACAATAATAACACATTCAAATTTTAAAGCCTTCACTGTTTATAAAGGTATATTATGGAACTTGATAGACTTGTAGTTTCATTTGATATCACTTTCTGCAACCTTTCATAAGCAGGTAGGTTAACACATTCTTACAATTAGACGGTACAAATTAGAATGATTTATAATATCACATATCATGTTTATGAGGGTAGAAATTTAAAGGTAAAAAGTTTAACAACTATTAAGTACATTTGGAAATGAAAATGTTATGTTTTTCAATGGAACCATTAACAAATCATTAATCAATTACATTCAACAATAGTCAAATATTTAATTTGAATTTAAGTAATAATGGTTGTGTGATTTTGGAGATGTAAGCAAATAGTTAGGTCTGGTTTCCCTAAAATCTGAAGCCAAGAATTGCCATCACAAAAATTTGGTACAGAGAGATGCTTTAGCATTTTTACAGACTTCATGGACTTGAGTATAGATTGGTGATTAAGATTCTTGCCTTCCAATTCCCAGGATCCTGGTTTCAATTCCTGTCAAGGTACAGGAATTATTCACACGACCAAAACAACTCCACCCCTAAGCCTCAAAATGATACTTTGTAGAGCACCTTGTGTTTATGTTTGTGAAGGGATATGCCACTTAGTTAAGAGGTTACCACTTTCATGTTGGGCTCTTGGTTTCCTCTTGGACTGTTTGTCGAATTTGTAAATAAAAAATAAATTAAGTTCACTGTTTGACCTATCATTGACCTTGAGCCTAAACCTAAATAAATCAATAAATACATAAATAAAATATTATTGAAGTAGGCTCTAATTTTCGACCTGTTTTTGAAAATTTTCATGGTGATTAACATCAAGAGAATTTATAATAGAGTAAGATATACCTCAAGACCTTTCACGTACCATTTGGGAATAATTTCCTGAGCGATATATATAGGAATAGAAATACTTGCATCACAAATGTATTGAGGAATGATTTATGACTACTTTGGATTGGATGTCATTATGTTAATAAGTTATGTACGCATTCATTATTCTGTCAGCACCTTACAAACATCTTGAGAAATGCTTATGCAAATCAAAATGGGACAGGAATAACTTGGTTCAGGTTACCTCAGTAGAATAGAGGTATGACTATATAGTCAAGATACATTATTGCAGGGGAACACCCCCTCCCACCCCATTGAAAACAAAAAAGCAAAGAAAAACACACCCAAGTAGATAAAAATCATCTAATATTAGCTTATTTTGCTAGCTATCCCCTCCCACTTAATGATCCAGCAACCAACCTCACTTTGTGATCCTAACAGTCATCTCCACCCCAATCCTACAGTAGATACACCCACACCAGAATTAACTTTAAGGGGAATGCGGAGATGACAGGGCAGGGCATTTGAAACAATAGAAATCAACGGGGAATCAACGGGACCCCCCCCCCCCACCAATTTTCAAAATTCAGAACCAAAATATATCAATTTTTCAATTTGCTTATCTACAAACTCAAAAAAGCGCACATATGCTCATGATACATATGCATACGATACAGCGATATTAGTTCATATTTGCGAAAACACACAGACTTACCACTCAAATCAAAGGCCATTTTTATTTCTTTTGGATTTGTCAGTGTTGTTGAATTGACACAGCTTAAAAATCTTCCATTTCTTGTTCTGTTTATCCAACACACCTTTAGAAAATAAGCAGATGACAATCATAATTTAGTATTTTTAATTTACCTTATTTAACTTGAATGCTGCAGACCATCTGTACTGGTAACTGTGCTTATAATTATACTGTGCTTTTTTTCAGTTGTAAAGTGCAAATGGATTCTCCAGAGAAGTACTGTAAGTCTGGAGGTCGAAATCCCATCTGATCCTCATTATTAATCAATTTACATGAAAATATGATCGTTATAAATGACACACTATAAAAATAACATTTTATGTGGGATGGTGTAACCTCACAGATCTGTGATAACCAACACGAAACTGCACCCACACTGGGACTCCTACCAAAAACATATCTTGGTGACAATACATGGAATGGCAGAAGCTACACAAATGCTCTCTAAGACACCCCACCTTGACGATATACCAAGGCAATGCCAGACGTAGGCCGTTTTGACAAGCCTGCTGATGGTGTACATGGCAACGACTCTGACAGGGCCCGACAACATGAGTTTCGTTGCAGGCCGATCAAAAATATCGTCCATCTCGGTGAAATACTGCTTATCTCTCAGGCTATGGCCGAATTTCTTCTGGTCATCCTTGGCCTCCATGTACAACCGTTGTTGTACATGTTGTACAACGTTGTCGAACTATATTTCAGTGGCATTTTATATTCGACTTAGGCAAGTTTGACTGTATTTGATATTTAAAAAAATTTTTTTTTTTGAGTATTTGTCAGTTAAGCTACTCATTCTTATCATCTGGACTTCTGCCCAAGGAAAGGCTGGTACGTAAAATTTGGCATAAATTAGGGTGAGGCCTTATGGGCTTATAAGAGAGGAAGTTTGTATTTCTACAGGGATAAAAAGATGAACAAAGGCTCACAAAAATGTACTGTACATATCAAATAAAAGACAGTTTTAAAGACTTCTTCCCTACAAATTTTAATCACTCACCAGAGCGCTGTCTATTTTATACGTAACCCACTACAACAGAATGCTACATTAATACTTCAACCTCAGGATGTGAAAGACAGTCCAATTTACCTTCTCCCTTTTAATGTCGTAGTTGATGGCATTTGCTCGCTCTGCTGTCAGATCATCTGATAAACCTTTACCAAGAAGCGACATTTTCATGATCTTCTCACCACTTGCAACTAACAAAAACGCATTTGTTGCTATGGAAAATAGAAAAGTTCGGTTTAATTCTTTATAAAATGGATACAAAGAATAATTACTTCAATAATATCTTAAAATTCTAAGTACTGTATACCTATTAACAACAATAATATATTTAATATTTGTAAAATACCACATCAATAGTTTTGAATAATAACTATTGAGAATACTTGCCATGTAAAATTTAAAAAATGTTATAAACATTAATTATAGAGCATAAAAATGTTAATTTAATACATGAATATCGATAAGAATTGGTGAAAACAGTGAAGATTACAGAAATAATAACAGCATCCAAGATACTATATTTCACTATGCAAGGAAGTATATTCCATTCCCCAAATTTATGGCTAATAAATAATTTAATACTCTTTGGCAACATGTACATGTTCATGACAATAATCTTTATTTATATCTTTATTATACAAAATAATTATTTTATTATTCAAAAAAAATCATCAATCATAATGCAATTGGATCCAGAACAATATTTTCAATTACTCCTATATTATTACTCATACAAAATGGCATTGACAAATGAATTGTAATAAAGGTAGCAATACGTGTTTATTCTTACAATAAAAAACACCAAAATACAATCAAAGAAAGGTAATTAACAATACAAATAACACTGTTACTACACATGTTTATATTGCGTGACATCTACACATCACTGAACAAACATGGGCGAAAGATGACCTCAACAAAACAATAATCAAATATATGCGGTAAGTGTCTCATTATTTGTAGCCAATTCTATGAGAAGAATTTGGGTCTAGGAGACACCTGGCTGGAAGCCAATTTTGGCCCTAGTAGGAGCTTAATTGAACCATCTTGAAATTTGTCTTCAATATAATTAAGACAAAGGGTATAGGTTGACAAGAAATCAATTTTAGATAATGCACACAGGAAATCTATGCTAAAAATCCTGAGACGAATTTAACAATTTCCATTATTGAGTTAAGTAAAAGAGAAATATTATTTTTCTTCATAATAAATCAATTTTGGTTGTTTTTGTATTATATTACCAAGTAAATTCCATGTGATTAATGACTGCAAAACAAAATTGCTTCTAGGAAGAAGCTATTAAGATAAATATATTCCGAAATTGACTTAAAATTTATCCTCGTAAATAACCAAATCCAATGAATTTATATTCTAAAGACTAGCCATACAAGCAGAATACATAGATTATCCCAGGCCCAGGATTTATCAATCTCAGCTTAGCAAATGTCCCTAAGCAAATATCTTATAAAGCTGATTTATCAAACCATCTTAGCAAAATCATTTTAGATGGCACATGCATACAATTAACTTTTTTTTAAATTTGATAAATCTGGCCCTGGTCTTTCTCTTATCTTTATTCATGTTGGCCTTCTGCAGTATTATATTTTGTTTAAATTCTATTATTTAAATTTCTTATCTTACTCTAGGTACATTGAAATTTGTCTCCCACATAATTAAGACAAGGATGGTTTTGACTAAAAATTTGGCAACGATAAAATCAGACACAAAAAATTTCAGAATTTACATTTAGTGATGTAAATTTAACCATCATCAGAAATTTAGCTTTACACAACATTTATCATTCTCTATGCATGCTATTTTTTTAACGATCTCCAATTGAAGAAAAAACAAACGAAAAGGATGCCCGGAACACCCATAAAGTCCTAGGACTTGTTTCCAATGGGGTCCGATTGAAAATTCACAACAGCGAAGAAATAACAGAAAAAAAAAATACAGTATACACAGTCACAAAACTTTTTAGTATTATAAATGTCAACAAAACTATAAATATAATTTTTTTTTTTAACTTCCTGATAGCAAAACCTCTATAAAATCCTGCACAAATGAAAACAGGTCTCCTTCTAATTAAGAACTTTCCAATTAAAGGCCACCTACTTTGAAATTTGTCTCCCACATAATTAAGACAAGGATGGTTTTGACTAAAAATTTGGCAACGGTAAAATCAGACACAAAAAAAATTCAGAATTTACATTTAGTGATGTAAATTTAACCATCGTCAAAAATTTAGATTTACACAACATTTATCATTCTCTCCGCATCCTATTTTTGGAACGATCTCCAGTTTATTTTCTACTTTCTGATAGCAAAACCCATACAAAATCCTGCACAAATGAAAACATGTCTCCCTCTAATTAAGAACCTTCCAATTAAAGGCCACCTCCAATTAAAGACTACTTCTCTGTGGTCCCACATTAACAAATATGTCTTTTATTTTTATTATTCTAATTAGAGACCAAAGCTGGTAAAGACTATGAAAACTGCAGTCTTTTAATTGGCGGCAGACCTGTATTATTCTTTGTATGTGTTAAAAGAACACATGTCAGGTTATGGCAAACATCACTCTTATGATTATATATTTTGTTATAACTTACCGGTTAAGCCAAATACTTTATCAATTCAATATAATTAAGCATGTAAAATAACTATTCTACTTTAATATTTAACATTTCCAAAAAAAAAAAATTAGAATCCTGCTAAACCTGATGTGTAACAGAATTCTTAACCTTTGTCCACACTATCAAAATGTCCTTTTATGGGCACACCACATAAATTTATCACATAAAATTTAATAGTGTAGTGTGGACAAAACTTTATAAAAAAAAAAATATGTGTGTAATCTACTTACATGTATCTGATTTGCATGTTCTTTTATCTTCTTGAAGAGAGAACCCTTCTACACATTTGCACGTATTAATAGCAGAGTCCTGGTTTACGCATGTCTGGTCACACACAGGAACTCGTACCATTTCACACTCATTATAATCTAAACACAAATAAAAATCAATCAAAATGTATAAATCCTCTCATTTATTATTATTGTAATATTATAATACCAATTGAATAAACTCCTACATTTATCATATTTCTGTTCATTACACTTAATAATATTTTAGTCGGTTAATTACATCAGATGCACTGACTTCCAAAATACTATTTTCCAGCACATATTATTCAAGCACATGCTAATGAGACAGATCAAATAATACTGTTGAGGCTGACTAAAATCTGATAGCGAGATGTGTGATCAGCTCAAGTGTTAGAATTAGCATTAAATTTTATCTCATAAAAACACGTAATTTGATTACATCTTTGAGTACCATCAAGAATTGTACAATATTTATTATAAAAGCAAATGATAGTAACTTTGGTGTGGAAATACACCTCCACTGGTGATAAAGATATTAAATTTTTGAGAAAAACATATTGTCTCCATCGGGATCCAAAAGTGTATACCACTTGGCCTCATAGCTGGTAGAGTTGGTAGAGCATCTGAACAGTAATCACAAGGTCTTGGGTTCAAATCCAGATGGAAAAATACACTTTTCTCAAAAAATTATTTTATATAAATATGACATAGATAGGATGGTAGTAATAACTGTGGAAATATTAACATGCATCCTTCAAGTAGTGATGTATTTTTTTTTTCTTGCAAATTGTAAATATAGGAAAAAGTCAGAGAGCACACCACAATGTATTACTATTAAGCTGTTTTTTACACCACAATAATAATAAGTTTGCCCGTTCGGTACTTTATTGTGTTTTTCATCCTTGAATATTTTGTTTGTATTCAGAATGAATATAATTTTTTTTTCTCAATACCAATACTATTTAATTCCATTCTATTACTTCTATAACAAATATGTCCTATTTTTCATATTTTTTTTATATTTTTTTTTTTCATACTTATGTAGGATACAGTGACAGAAATATAATTCATAAGCTGCCATGCGTAGAATCACCAGTGATGAATGAAGTTAATGATAAGTTAAGCCTTGTGGTAATTTAAGCGTTAGAGTCCACGGTGCGTAACGTCACAATTTGTCTCCAGCTCCATATGGTACAAAACAGCCAAGTTGGCTATCAACAAAGCATGGACGAATAAAGAGAAAATGGCTGAAAAAATACAGTCACGAAGGCACCTCAACATTACCTAATTACATAGTATAACCTGGCATTATTTAATAACAAAAAAATGTAACAAAAATAGATAAACAATCAAGAGTATCATTCCTAATATTATTTATCATCATTTACTTTAAAAGTCTTTAATAATTATAGCAGCCTCTTGTAAATACATTTACAGACATTTACTCCAAGCTAAACAGAATCCATAAAATAAGTCATTATGCATGTATGCAAATAATAATTAATGGAAAAGTATCATTTTGCCATCTGCTACCAAGATAGAAAAATGGATCAGTTATAAATATTTAAGAAACTAATAATTTACATAAACATCACGTACAAAGCAAATAGTCCAAATATTGAATGATTTATATTCTTATTTTATTTGTATAATTTAATAATATCCATTAAAATAAAACTTTATTACAGTGTATTTCAGGAAATAATGGCTCCTTAGGCCTCTATTTCTATAGAGTTCTCAGAACTTGACTATAATTGCATATTAGGAGGGTGCATACAGTGTCACAAAACTTTTTAGTATCATAAATGTCAACAAAACTATAAATATCATTTTTTTTCTCGGTCTGTATAATTTCATTTAAAAAAAATTGTTATAGATCTTGATCTGGTGCTCTACTATGGTAAAGAAGGAGAGGGAGGATATAGACTGTTCTCTCTGAAAGAGAGGAGCCATGTGTTTAAGCAGGAAGATAAAGAGAAAATTATTTCTTTACGGTTGTCCATCAATAGGAAATATTCCTGTTCCTATTGATCGAGTTCCTGTAACATAAATATATGTTACAGGAACTCGCATTCTTTTGATAACAGTGGGTTTTTCCACTTTAGCAACTCCCTCTTTTGAAACTAGATTTGTTTTATTGATTATTTTCCATCATTTGAAACTAAATCAAAATTACAAATTACTCGATTGCATAAAACTTTTATCTATTACCTTGTTAATAGTAAAGGATTTTCTTTACATCCAATTTACATTATAATTACACAGCTTTAATTGCTACCAATAACACTAATTTATGGTCTTGAAACAATTACATTGCCAAATATTTCCACGAACAGTATTAAATTTCCTGTCATGCTATTACCATAAAAACTAAGACCATTCAAAACAAAGCTCAAAATCTCACTTATATCACATATGAGGCTCGGCATCCAAAAAACAGCATCATTGACCAAAAAAAAATTTACTCTTTGATATATTAATATACTTTACTTTGTAAGTTTTAAAATGATGGGTCATTTACTGTCATCGACTTACTATTGCTAAATTTATGAGTAAAAGTATTACGGCTTTTCTGTACTAAAGTATACAATACTTCCACATTCTTTATGCTATTTACTCGGTTTAAAAATTTGCGACGCTTGCTTCGGAATGGCAAGCTTCATATAATTTTGAATGTTGCTTTCTGAAATGTAGTATATCTTGTAATTAATGTGTGCATTATACTTAAATTTAATCCAGACATAGTTTCAACATTGTATACGATAGTACTTCCTGAAAGACTAAAATGAAACCGTCACCGCAAGGATTCAGATGCTGAAGATAAATCATATGTAAGTAATGTTACAATATACTTACCAGAACATGATCTATTGTCTGGATTCAGCTGGCGTCCCTCTCGGCAATAACATCGAGCACCAAATATGGAATATCTACACATCTCCTGACAGTGCTTTTCTGCACACTTATCATTTTGATCCACTAAAAACAAAGAAACAAAAGAAAATTATTTACTAAAGCACCATGTAGCAATTTGGCATTTCAGAATGTTTCTGCCATTATTAAAAAATATAGGATGAGTATGATTCCACATGAAGATATTATTTTCTTTAATTAACAAAGGTGATTTTACCACAATCTAATTTAAAATCAAAAGCTAATTAGAAGTACTTAAATATACAAAGTAAGCACTTCATGTATTCAACATATTTCTTTCAAGTGTTGTAGCTTTTTGCAGACTGTATCTTTGATTATTGTACTAAGAGAGGATGTGAAATGAATTCACCCTGTAGCATTAATGGCAGGGTAGAAGTAGGCTGTGAATGTTGTAGCGTAGAATAACAATGATCTGAGTTGGATTACATGACTAGAAATCTTCCCCAGGGGCTCATATTCAATGTTCAAATTGCTGTATCTAATGGCTCGGCTAATCATTATGTGAAGTGACCGGAGGTTATATGTAATGCGCTACTGTTTCTAGACACACAACTATCATCACTATTATACAGTACTTGTTCGTGTCTTTGTCCAGGTCTTTTTGTTTGTGTCTGTGTGTGTGTGAATTTGATGAATGTTGCACAGGTTTGCCTGTGCAACATCATCGAATCAAGAATCATTATGTAAACTTACTTGCGGTTATGTGTGTACTGTACTATTAGTGATGTTTGCACAAACAACATCAGTTATTTGTACTGTAATGATGCGCTACTGTTTCTGTATCAACCCTATCTAACATGTGGCAAAGACAAGCCAAACCCGTCACTCGTCGCAAAAATCGATTTTAAGTTATTAATACAGTGTTAGAGAGTAAAATAATAGCTATAAAATGGTTAAAAAATCATTCAAATCGGACATTTCGTTATGAAGTTACAAGTGTTTAACCACACAGCTGTTTAAAGAACAATATATGAGAAATTAACCATCAAAGTTTATGATTTCAGGCATTTCTCATGCAGAAACTATCTTTAAATCCTTAAAAAGTATTGTTTTAACATTGAAAATGGGGAAAATAACAGCATAGAATGATGTGTAGATATATAAAGGTTAGTTTAATGCAATAAAATAGATTTTTTAAAATTTGACATTCCAGCATGTTTTGGCCATTTTCTCTGAAACACAATTTGCGACGAGTGACTGGTTTGGCTTGTCTTTGCCACATATACTGACAGTACTTGTTTGTCTGCTAGGTAGTCATGGACCATGCCCATACGCAATTCAACACGAGTTATGGGTTATTCTCCTACCTTTACCTTTACTAAGCGTGGGAATAACAGGTGAAAGTGGCACTAGGGTTAATATACAGTTTTTTGTTCCATAGCTTTCAGTCCATCTACAGCAACATCGTCACTAATTATACTGTATGAAATTGTTTATATCTTCATGTGGATGATTTTTTTTTATGATGTGTCTTTGTGAAAATTACATATTTTTTTGTTCCATAGCTTTCAGTAATCCTTCATTCGCTTCTATTTGTGCTAGACTGAAGAAGAGACTGCATATAATACTTTCTTGCTTGAAATATATTATTAACAATAAAAACATATTTATAATGCATGCATAATGCATGTCAATAAAAAAGACAGTTGTGTTGTAAAAAAAAAAACTGGCACAAAGATGCAAGATCTCCAAGGAGTAACGATTCGCCTGCACTGTAGCGTATTGTCTTTCTCGGATATTAAACACTAACTTACTTTATCTGCAGGTGACTAGTACTAATTCTTTTTAGCAGCTATATTTTACATTTGTTTAGTCAACACTAGATGTCATGGGGTAAAGAAAGTACAAACAGTCTACAACTGCAATGTTAAGAGGTTTTGAACAACTAGCTACAATTTATCAGAGTAGGGAAAGAAAAAAGACTATTGTGTTGCGCATACACAAAAGTAACATCTGCCCTGAAATTACTAAAGAGTGTGCTCTGTGCAACATTAGCGTTATTAAGTTGTATCTCCATGGTTTGTTTTCTTTGTTTATTTGTTCTCCACACAATCAATAGTGCAAACACTTCTATAGCCTTGTTCCGACGGTGTAAGTTACACCGGTGATATCATAGTTGTTATGAGGCTGACACCGACCGTATGAACGGGGTCACCTGATAGAAAACAAGCACTTTACCCCGCAAGCTAACACCGACAAATGACCGGATTGGCAAGGCTCTCATCCGACAGAACTTTCTGTTAATTGACTTGCCACATGTTGATTGCAATAACATCTATAGCTTGACCACGGTCTCGTTTTCGAGGTGTTTCTACTAGGCCTAGTTGGTTCATAATATCAACCAAAGCATCTTTAAAATTACCTTTTGAACTTCATAATTGTCAAAATAATCCGGACAAATTTATATTATTACCGTTCGTTGTAAACTTCATATAAATTTTCATGTCTTTTTTTTTTGGGGGGAAATCCACAAAAATCTGTGGTAGTTCGTTCGCTTTGTCTAAAGATACGGCTGAACGAGATACGGTGAACGCCGGTGAGATACTGTACGTACATGATTTTGAAATTACAGCTAATACGGTAGCCTTATCTTTAGCCATAGCAATTCACACATTCTATCAAGTAGAACCACGAACGTTGTTCGTACTCGCATACAACATTTTATAAATGCTGCCGAAAATCTCCTAAATGTTAATAGGTAGGCTTAGGGTAGGTGAGAGTTTTATTTTACTTTTTTTTTGCTCTACCATGTGAAGATGAAAAAATTGGATGTTAAACATATTTTGACTTTTATTTGTCAATAGTTGGTATGGCCTACTGCCTACCTAATTCAAAGCATGCCTAGGCCTAGCCCAGGCAGGCCCTCGCCTAATGTAATTTCTGTTTTGTCTTTTATTGAAACATCATGATAAAATCAATAGAAATAATTTTAATCTTCAACTTTTTTATATCAGTGTATAAGCGCTATAACTATCCGCTATAACTCTCGTGTAGACATACGATAAAATTTGATGGGGCCTTGACTGGATAACTAATTAACTTGCATCGGATAAGGGTGATCGTGAGAACATGGCTTATGTTACTACCCTCTTCAACATCTGTTTCCACTACCTGATTGTAGTGGGCGCACTTTCATGGTACAACCAAGAGTTACTTATTTCCACACTTTGTCCACACTATAAGACTTTCTTTGGCAAAAAAGGTGTTTTATGCCCATATATAGTCATGATGTGCCTATATATGGTCATGATGTGATGTCATCGTGGCCATTTTAGCCATGTCACAGGGATTTTGAATATTGGACTTACCACAGTGACTGCCTTCATCTGACCTATCTCCGCAGTCAATCTTTCTATTACATAGCAAGCTGAGAGGGATACAGTCATTCGTGCCCGGACACTGATACTGATCTATAGAGCAGCTCTCGGGCGGAGTCTCACCTGAGAATAAAGAGTAACACAGTTCAAGACAAAAATATTCCAGTATTTATGAATTTTGGAAAAAAATGAGAGAAAAAAATGTTGATTATTTGTACATGTTGATTATTTGTTAATTGGTATTCACCTACTAATAATAATAATGTTTTAATTATTTGCTTATTTTATTTATTTATACTTATATATATTTAATTATATATATATTTATTAATAATTATATTTATCTATATTTACTAGCCATATAAATAATTTAACATTGCATTGGCAGACATTATTCTTATGCACAGTATCACTTCTTCAGGCAACAAGTTTATGATCATATCTGGCAAAATTATATATTATTTTTAATTATTTGTAATACATTCTGCAAATACTGTGGTTGGAATCGAGTATATTAGAACATCTTATAGGTATATTGAAAACTAATTACGATCAGCACGTTGTTCCTTCTTCACTAGAAAGGACGTCTACAAATATTCCTTCTTCCACAAATCATTTAATCATGAATAAATTACAGTAAGCCAGTTGTCTCATCTCCATTTTAACAAAGCTTCTAGGAAAACGAACTATAATACAGTAGCGTGCACTAGTCTCAAAGTGGATACTGTATGTTCGCTTTGCTGAAAAGGTTCAGAATGCAAGCTATGGACTTAGATAAATATTAAGTAAATTATTTTGTAAATTTAGTACAGTTAGCACATCAGTCATGAACTATTTTGAGAATACAACTTTCAACGCTTGCTACATGTAACCTGTGAGAGATTCCTGCTCCATAAACCATGCATTAACTGCATAGCATGCTTTAGCCAAACAACTTCGTAACTGAAAGTCTGTTCAAACAGACATGGAGTATAGCTACTCTGTATGTACAGTATGTTGATGTGTGATACTTAGTACATTAAATCAACAATGCCAAGTTTAAATTAATTCTAAGAATTATGATTTCAGGCAGTAATAATTTTGTTTTGGGCACTAGATTAAGAATCAAGACATCAAATTTTAATTAGTGATCCGCTTCTTTCCGCCCATATTTCTCCCCATTTCTTGTTCGCACGATATCTCAAAATCGCCAAAAGCTACGAACAAGTTAGCTTCCACAAATATTTGGCTTGGTCTAGAATAGTCACAATAAGGTTTTCAATGTGCTAAGTCATGCACAACGTCTACGCGCAACTTTACGTTTTTACATTATCGATCATATCTTCCTTACCAATTTTCATTTCTAAATCATATTCAGTGGGCATAAACTTCAAGTCAAGGTTGAATATCTCGTACCAAAATATTTTGCGTGCACGTCGTAACACAGGTGCACACGTGCATCAAATTTTTAAAATGCTCAAAAATCACTTTTTGACCAAAGTAGAGCACGTTTCAGGCCATTTTGAGTATTTCAAATTTTTTTGAAATTTTCCACTACGCGTGCGCACGTACAGGAGCTAGAAATTATGTTTTTTTACATATTTTGGGTTCCTGACATTGTATTCACAAATTTCCATTCTTTTCAGTCGTCTTATGGCCAATAGCAATGCCGTACACGCACATCAAACATAGGGATCTTTGCGCCAGTTTGTGCCGATAAATATGCTAAAATCAGGCCTATTTTTAATCTGTTGATACAGTAGCTTCTTAGGATGAAAGATGAACCCCAGGGTGGCAGACTTAATATTTTCCTGCAGTATTTTTCCATATTTCACTTTTGCGAGATTTCTTTTGACGGACAAGCGGATCACCTAACTCGTCCTAAGTGACGAGTTCAAATCTAGTTTTTTTTTTATTATTATCATACAGGTCTCCCTTTAATGAAAGACCCCTCCAATTAAAAACCACTTTTCTGTGGTCCCAAATTAACAAATATCTTTTATTTTTATTATTCTAATTAGAGATCAAAGCTACTAAACAGTATGAAAACCCTGGTCCCAAAAGTGGTCTTTAATTAGAGGGAGACCTGTAATTAAAGAGTGTAACCCGTCCAGCTCAGAGGCAAGACAGTAAGCTGATCTAAGCGACTAGAACAACAAAAAAATACTAAGTTATTAAACACTGTTTTTCCTAAGTAAAATTTGATTAATATTTGCAAATATACAACAAACAAATAAAAATTCATTCGCAAATAAATGTCAACATAATTTTTGGGCACCCTTAATTTTTAACGATGTCCGAAAATAAACTTGAATTGTGATACTGTAATATTTGGTTCTTGAATAATTTAAAATAGCTCATAAAAACTATTATTACCAAGCAATTAGTTATACTGAGACAAGATGCAAATGAGACACTTGATTGGCTTACATTAGTAGTGAAATTTTAGTTGAATAAAATCTACTACGAAACAATATCATTAAGAGCTCAATACATCCTATCAACGTATTCCCAATGTAGTTTAAATAATAAAGTTGAGTAGCGTACACTTTAAATGGCTGTTTACTTTGTGCAATCTCCCATATTACTGCAGACCTAGAATATAAACATTTCCAGATTTTACAGAAAGAGTTTGAATTCACTCAATCATATCAGGTTTCATTTTAACAAATGTTTTCAGCTAATATTGTAAATATACACACATCATACAACAGTTCCTCTGGTATAATCCCCCTCCCTCTTGAATACAAAATTGGACCGATTTTATGGGGGAGATGGGGAGGTACGGGCTTATACTTTGGGAATTCCCTTTTCATTTCAAATTAATTTTTCATCATTGTATGCCTACTTCATGAGTAGTTGTTACTGTGGAATTTTTCTCAAAACTAAAAAACAACTGTACTTCCTAAGCCTCCAAAAGACACTTGGTTTTAAATAAAGCACCCATCGTGTATTGGCCATATAAATTCACACAAACAGTCATGCTTTTATGTGGGAGACTGGATTTAGGCAGAATATTTCTTGGTAGGCCTACTTTGCAATCTGAAATGATGAGGAACATTGTTTTTTGTTCATTTGGCCTAATTAATACCAATTACATTCATCCAGTTTAATACTGTGTTGCCTATCAAGCTATTATTGATTAGCACAATCATGCTAGTGGTTTCAGTTAATTAGGAGACTTTAATAACATCTTTATGAATTGTACGTACGCAGTTAATTCACTTATGCAAGTTAGACAACAACTTGCGTTATAATGCAGCAAGCACAATGATTACTTGTCTGGAATTAATGTCGGGCTCAATTAGCCGTGATTATTAACCGTATTACAGTATTGATTGGGAAATTATTACTGTCATTCCTTGTGTAGCGCTCCTTATCATGTAGAATGACATCTCAACTTAAAAAGGGTGATCTGACAGTCAGTGTAATCAAAATGCCAAAATATATCTTAAAACCACTAGCAATTGAATCAATGTATCTATATTACCCCCAGTGTACCCTAGTAAACCCCAAAACTGTACTCCAAAAAATGACCACAACTTTTAAAAATGTGCACAATTCATAGATAAAATGGTGTATTATATATATTGGGTTAAATATTAAAAATATTTGGTGACAATTTGAAATTTAGGAGTTGACACAATCAAAAGCATTTATAGAGTATGAAATTGTCATTTTCAGGCATTTTAAGATAAGGGAGGGGGGCATAATTTTCCCTCAGCTCTAATCATGGTGGGGCTGAGGTGGTTAGTGAGACTCAATCCAGTAGCATCCCCATGTGATAGTTCCTGTGGGAAGACATGAAGAAATTCATGTTTATTCTTTTATCTGATGTAATTCCATTTATTTGTTGTGTTTCATGTCATATTGGATAAATGAGCAATATTTTTTATTTAATATTTAGAGGGGGTTCAGTATGATTTAAGGCCAAATAAGCCAGCATCTTTTGATTTGTTGTCAAGGTTGGTCCTGTGTAAGGTAAATGAGGATGCAATTGGTTTGCGTCGGAAAAAGTTGCATCGTAGAATACAATACATTTTTAATTTTCTCACGGCGACCTAAAGACTGTTAGTTCTCAATAAATTTTTTAAAAGTCGTATAATGCTGTATGAGTTGGATTCTTTACATTCACTGACAAAATTTTAGATCTAAACTATTATACATATTTTTTTTTATAACGCCAGGTTCTCTAACAACAGAAGGAGATAATATACAGCTGTGTGGATCATCCTACACGGCTAACACAATGCTAAACTACAAATACAAAGCAGAATAACCAATCAATCAGGCACTGGATAGCAGGTGTAGTAAATCCTATGTTCATGATTGCTATTGGAATAGAAACATGGAAAACCACAAACCATGCTCAAGCTATTAAACATCACTCAGTTGTAGAGGTAGTAACTATAGCAACATGGCAGTCAAAAAGGAACACACCTGGTTCTGATATCATCATTCCACTCGCACCAATTGAAGGTTATAAGTGTAGCAGTTTACCTTGACCATGACCTTACAAATAAAATTACATTCTTTGGGCATAAAATAGGATAGGCTTATTACATGGAGACATCAGGAAATCCTTCAACGGTCTACACTATACTAAATTTTGTGTGGGATGATTTAGTAATAAAACATGCCTTTTTTTATTCATTTTGGAAATTCATAAATTCGATAAAAGTTATTTTTATGCAAAGAGAGCTTTGAAGTAAAAGTGAGTGCCAACAATGATACCAGTCAGTGCTAAAACCATTTAAATTTTAGTGTTTTAGTATATAATATCTTGCAAGAAATTATTATATTCTTAAAGTCAGAGAATTTATTTGGTTTCATCAACTATTTTGAATACTGATATGCATGGTCCTTTTTGTAAGGCACTTGTTCAAAAATAACATGGTTCTTTGCAAGTCCAGTGATAGCCAAAAAAATTGTAGTATATTTATAGACCTAACAGTATAAATTAGGTACCGGTAGATCAGTTTATCATCTGCTGTAGGCCTTAGACTATCATCTACTCATATATACAACGGTTCTACAGTAGGAAGCTTACAGTATATACTTCCACTGATAGTATTATATTATTAAGATATATTTATACACATGCTTAGGTAATAATAAACATTTTTATTACCTGAAATCACTTGTGATCAATGGCGCAATTATTAAATTATAATAAATTACAGTGTTTAAAAGCTACAATTCTATGAGCCAATTTAGCTATAAAAATTTTAATCCCTACTAAAAGCATTTAATTTATTGCTGCCAATTTGCTTGTATAGTTCGCAATTAGGGACCTAATCTCGTCCTTCACTGACGATGACATTTGCAATTGGTTTTAAAAACAAATATTTGCCTCCTCTTTGGTTAATACTGATGGAGTATAATAAAAGAGTCAAATAAAATTTATTGAGATTTAAATTCAATGTGTGTATTATTAAACAGATTTATAATGAATGAGTAAGTATGATACAATTCTGATACAGTTTAAATCTAGAATAGTGACCTATAAAAAAAACACTACCTGAAACTACACATTTTTTTTATAACCAGTAAAATTTTGCCCAGGCTCAGTGTTCTTATTTTTTGCTCAATTTCAGGATCAAAATGTTCTTTTTTTTGTTCTTAGTTTTACAAACTTTTTAAACTTAAAAAATTGTTATTGTAAGGCTCAGTATTACTGTATATTATAGAGGGTATTTCACAGTCACACCTACTACACATTAAGGTACAGATAACATGTGTTGGTTTTTCTAGTTTTTTTAAATAAATATCTCATTTGACATTTCACCTCAGCCTCAATTTGTTCTTATTCTGTTCTTAATTTTTGGGCAATTTCTCAGTGTTCTTATAAAATGTGTTCTTATTAAAAAAATAGTGTATTTTTCAAAATCACATTGTTGTAATTAAGTTAAGTCAGAAAATGATATTCACAGATAAATGACTGGAATTCAAGGATATTTTAAAGTTGTCTAGATGACGCACATGATCAAGAAAAAGCATCATGGAAAAGGTATCCTAAAGGGCAAATGTGGGAGTATTGAGCAACATCGTTTTGTAGGGCATTAATGGGACAAATTTTCATATTGGTAGCTGGGTGAACAAGGTTTTAATAGCTAGCCTTACTAACTAATTTATTGCCCACACTTTCTCAACTATTGCATCGCATTATTTTGCACTGCATAATACTTTACATCATATTATTTTGTACATACAGTAGAATCCCTATTAAGGGGACACCTTTGGGAACAAAAATGTCCCCTTAATAGGGGTATCCCCTGATAGGTGTACACCTATTCAGGGGGCACTAACCAGAAACATGAAATTGTCCCTTTAATAAGAGTTTTGGCATGTTTTCATATAACAATGTCATAAATTTTTTATATTTTTTTTTATTTACATAATTAGTTATAGTAGAATTAGAACTAATTATGTAATGCTATACATTTCATTTATAATATAAAATTAGCAGAAATGTAATTAAAACAACTATTGTTTTATATTTTCCCAATATTGTTTTGTGATGCAACTATGATGCAAATGACCAAATATTCTTTGCTTTTTTAAATATTGAGCTTTCTATTGGATGGATGTGCATGAATAGAGAGTAACATGTTAGGGTAGGCCTATGGAATAGAATCCTATACAGTATGAAAGCACACAAAAAACAAAGAAAAAGATGGTTCTGCTGTACCATCTGGACTTACATTCATCTCCTTGCTCATCCGAGTTGTCTCCACAGTCATCAATGCCATCGCAGAACCATCCATGTGGAATGCATGTTGATGTACCAACGCATTGGAACTCCACTTCAGGATCACAAACTTTTCCTTCTGTAAACGGATGACAAAACAAGGGCAGAGAGGTCGTAGGTCAGCAGATAATTAGAAGTAGAAAGAGGAAGATAACATGAAAGTAGGAAGGAAAAAAAAATCATAAAAATCATAAAGAAAATGGCTAATTAATTTACCAATATATAATTACTTTAGACATACTATATTTATGCGAGTATACTCTATTAATAGAGGTTGCACAGTACCGGAAGATGATGATGATGATGATGAAAGATCTAATGAAGTTAAACCTTGTAATCAGAATGTGAACATCATAACACTCAGGTACTGTATAATGCCATTCAAAAATTTCCTAGCAGAAATTTCATAGCAAAATCTGTACAATGTTAAAATTAATGTTATTTCACAATTGAAAAATTTTGATACATGAAAATTAAAATAATTTTATATCTATAAAAGACACTATTGTAGATATTCCAAAATTGGTTTTCCATTGAACTTAACTTCCAAAATTTCTGTAATTTGATATTTTAAACCAATTGACCCTGCTCAACCACCAACTAGTTAAATTTAAATATGACAAGTACCAGTTATTTTATCAATGTTCACTGTTTAGCATAATGATAAAACTACTTTTAATATCAATAGCACATAGGTACTGGCATGGCTTTGAAATCTGAGCCAGTAAATTCTGAATCAGTTATTTAAATAGTATGTCAACTCAAAATCAGTCAGCATTTATGCAACAAAGAAATTTCTGAACCCCATGACTTGGTTCCTCTCTCGTTCCCCCACCCCCCCACCAAGACTTTCCATAATGAATTCAGTCACCAGACAGGCCAAAATCCCTAGTGAATTTGGCGTCCCCTGCCCCTTCTTGATAGATTCAAAATTGGGACAGCATAGCATTCACAATTTACATTATGTAATGTACAGAGGATGGGGAAAGGGGAGATTTTCAGAATGGTCTGAAATTTCTGTCAAGTTATAACACTATTACACATTACAATAATTAACTATGTCTAGGTTTACAATAAACATGCTTCAATTTAGTTAATTACACGTACCACAGTTCTCTTCATCGCTAGAGTCCTTGCAATCAAAGTCCCTGTCACATCTCCATTCCGACGGGATACACTCTGATCCGTTTTTACAGGCAAATTCAAATACAGGGCACTTCCCTTCTATTAAAAAAAAAAAGTGGAAAATGGGAAATCAGATATTACTAATACTGAAACTTTTTCAGTATTAGATAAATATGAAATAATATATTTACTTACAGTTTAAACACAATCAATGATATAAAAATAATTATAGTTAGACTCACTATTATTTTTCTATTCACACTGCAGTATATTTTTTTTCATGTGTAAGTGGCCTCAAACTCTTATCTCCTCCTCCCCCCCCTTATTTTGGACCTTCCAATTAATCCAGTCTACAAACTTCACCCTGTCAAAATACCACAGTTGAGAACCTCTGCCATAAAGTATTCACACTGTATAATAACACTGACCTTGACTTTTATGAACAATATTTTATATTTCATGGATTTTATTTATTATTTATTTCAACAATATTTTGTGAGGGTGGTCCATCCAGCCTGAGCTGATCAATTGGGACCCTCAGTACATACAATTAAAACATAAGTATAAAAATTAAACTTGATCTTTAACATAAGCAAATTAAATTAAATTAAACCAGGAAAAAATTAATAATAATAATAAAAATAATAAAAATCAGAAAAAAGATATAGGCCTACAGTATATAAATTATATATAATAATGATTTAAGGAAAACATTAAAAATAAAAAAAATAAAAATTAAATTAAAAAAAAAAAATTGACATATTGGACAGAATAATATTTGAAATAAAAAAAAAAATAAATAAATCAAAAGAATGATTCTTGGGTGGGTGAAAGATATTGGTCACTATCAAATTATAGAGACATTGTGAAAATGTATAATGTACTTCTGCTTGCAAACTGAAATACATTCCATTTTATATCTTTTGCAAACCAGCTATTAAAAATACCAAACATTAGCAGTATACAAATACACTATACTGTAATGGCCCAGCATTGGGAAGACCCTCAATCTATTATCTTCATACTGTGCAATGGTATTTTTCTGTGACCATTTGTACAGACATTCACAAGTCTGTGAAAGAGCCATGCCCATTTGACCCCATCCTACAAATGTTTGTGTAATAAAAACAAAATATCCTAAAGCTTTACGGACGTGACATAGTATTGCCTCTCAAAGAAATGATCACAGAAAGTAATCTGAATGTATGTTAGTATACTTTAATCTTTAATGTTGGGCAGGGGTGGCGCCGGGATTTGCCTGATGGGGGGTCTGATGTCACCAAAGACAGAAAGTGGGCATGGTTGGGCGTCACTCAAAATCTCTTGAAAGCCACTAAAACGAAAACTATGACAATTTAGGGGTTTCAAAGGCTTATTTACTAATCAAGAGTCTACTAATATGTAGAAAATACATACATTTTTTATTTCCCCAACAAATTGTGGTATTTCTAACCTACGGGGGGCCCTGGCTCCCCGGATCCCCGCAGGCGCCACCCCTGATGGTGAGGTAGGCTCTTGGAGCATTTTTTATGGCATGCCAAAGCAATTCACAAAGAAACAAGCGAGAATTTTTTTTTTTTCAATATTACAGTATTCCTCTGGACTTGTCACAGTCAGCAGTCTCGACAATGCATTGGGCAAGCAATTACAATTCCTTCACCAGTTTTTACTGCTCTTCATTGAATAATAAAACCAAACCACTTGTCCATGCCACTGCCTGTACTTCACCAACAAAACTACACACCTTTTTCTCGGATTCCAGTTTACAAAATGTTTATATAATAGTGTGCTGTATATTAAAAAACGATCTGTGTGTTCAATTAGTGTTTTGGTGACCCACATTTATCATCAAAAAGCCGTTTTTTTAATTACCCCCGACATTACATGCCAATCCTAACCTGCCACATTCAGTAGTCTCATCATTAAAAACTGTGAAATGACTTTTCAAAGTAGTAACTGCATTTACCAACAAAATAATTGCTTTTTTCCAGGTGGGGAGTCTATTGGGAGGTTCTGTTCCCCTTCCCCAGATCCCTGCTGTTTAGTACACTTTTGTATTGTGTGTCAGGGGTGTCATTTTAAGATGGCGGCCGGCGCAATCCCCGTCTATTATGATTTTTGCGCAAACTATCAGACCAACGGAGGTAAAAATAAATATAAAAGTGGCCTGAAACCTACGCTCATCATGGCTTGGGCCTAGCCAAGCCCTAAGAATCAATACTGTAATTTTTAAATCTAATGTTGTAAATCATGATATTCTTGACCAAGCAAGCACTTGTAAAAACAGGAATTTTCATTCTTTTGAAAGCCACTATTGAACATCACACGATCCCTAACACAATTGAAGCGACGGCAAATCAACGCACATGGGGAATCCCCGAATTGGTTCACACATTCTTGACAACAGTTACGACTCAAAATTACTCATTGTATTAACTTTTCAATACAAGTGATGAATTGAAAAATATTTATTCTTTTCACTCTACTTATCATTTTTGAATACCAAACTTGATCAAAGAAGATGACATGCTGTACTAGTATGAAGTCTACGCCAAAAATATGGAGAGATTTCTTCCTAAAACTAGCATTTACCACAAAAATTACATTTAAGACTCAAAATTGAACCACGGAGCAGGCTTGACTTAGTTTGACTTTCGTAATGTAATTTTGCTGTTTTATTAATAAACGTAATTTAACTTGGTACAGTAGGGCCTACCGTAGTATGCGTTTCAATCATTTAATAAATTTATTGTATTAACTTTTCAATACAAGTGATGAGTTGGAAATGCATGCCATCGTGTCGGGATTCAATATTTCGACATTAATTATGTCATCATCAGGAATCAAATTGGAAATATTTGTATTCTTTTCACTCAACTCATCATTTTTGAATGACACACTTGATCGAAGAAGAAGACATGCTGTACTGGTATGAAGCCTATGCCAAAAATATGAAGAGATTTCTTCTTAAAACTAGCATTTACCACAAAAATTAAAACAGCATTCTATTAGGCCTAAGCTTATATTTTTGTACGATATTAAATCATCACAACAAAGTAAATACAATTTTAATTTCATTCAAACACATTTAACCACATTGTCACAAACAACGTCTAAAATCCAAACACTACCGTTAAATCGGGTCTAGCCCGATCGAGCGTTGTCGAAGAATATCTGAAGAAATACCACATTGAAGAGAACATGTGATCAGCCGTACAAAATATGCTAAACTCAATGGACATACAGGTACAAGGTTCAACGTACATTCATGTGAACAAATTCGGGGATACACAGTGTGCATTGATTTGCCATCGATTCGATCGTGCGTTGTTCAGTAATTTCTTTTGTTTTTACAAATGTTTGTTTGGTCAAGTTAATGTATTTTAACATGACTGAACAATGAAAAGCTTGGAGAAGGTATGATTTTTTTTTTCTGAAACTGTTGTGTGCCCCCCTACCCCTTTTGAAAAATTCTGGATCCGCCCCTGCCTCGACAAATACCTTGGCAATGTCGGCATTACCAAATGCTGATGCTAAATTAGATGTTCAGATAATAAGTTAATAAGTGCATTCAATGATGCTTTTTTATAAGCAAGAAGAGTATATGTTTATTTTGTGTACTTGATAAAAATAAACACAAATTATAAAAAGTTAGCACTGACAAAGCACCAGTGTCCGAAAGCTAGCATTTGACTGTGGAATTTTACTTTAAAATAGTGTTTAATACATTCTAAATTCATAGACTGCAAACCCACCCCTGCATGGGCAACACAATTCAGAAGTTAAAATTCAACACTGTTATAACTTACAGTAATAATTTTTAATTTTTTCTTAGGTAGGGAGGGGATACCCTTCACGACAAGTTCCTCCGCCTATTAACACTCCTCCTGTTATTTCATTTCAAAATGACACCCCTAGTGTGTTACGGAAACTTTTTGTATATTTGTAAATTGTATTTACCTCTTCAGGTACTTTTTAATGCAAATTTGTCAGATCAAATCTATGTTACTGACATAGTACTGTACAAACTGCTAATACATGCAAATAGGCTGGGGAAAGTGGATGTGCAATCCCTCCCCTCCCTCATGGCAGTAAATAATTTCCACTATTAGCGAGTTAAAACATTATCTACCATTAGAATTTCATTAGAATAGTAATTTAGTTTTTCAATTTTCACACACTTCCCACCCCCACCCTGATACGCATTCTCCAATTTCACACCCCTGGGATGAAACCAGCCTATGCCCCTATAAATTTATGATAGCACAACAGTATTTTTAAAATGTTTCATCCTTTGACATTTACCAGTGCTCCTTCAACAAAACATGCACAATATGAAGATATAAATTAATTGACGGAGAACACAAACACGTTGCTAACGCCAGGATGAATGATGATGATGACATTTGCGGCTTTAATAATATAAATGCAATACTCAAATTTAAAAGTTACAGATGTCTGTGCTATGATTCTTAAAACTTACTTTGAATATACATTTATAATATAAATAGTTGTTTAAATTGCAAGGATGCCATGCTTGTGGGAAATCCTGTGAGAGCCAGAAAACATTTGGACCCCTTGGGGATTGTTCAGCCTCAGTAGGTCAATTAAGTACTTATCCCCTTCCCCATTAAAATATTTGAACCTCAGCCACCGAAATTGCATGTTAAACAGTCATACTCTTGGGGTTCAGAGTTTCAGCCTCATATCTTGACCTGATACAGATACTGTAATCAGATAACTTTCTTAAAAATACACCGATATCATATTGCATCTGCAAACTACAGAAATCGAGAACACGCAGATGTTATAGAATATTCATTATATTACTGAAGATGTGCACGTACAGAGGTTATGAGAACTTGCAGCTTTTACCAAGATACAAACAAAGATACAGTAGTAATCGCTTTTGTACAGACACTGCATTGCACTTGTAAACTTGAAAACATAAAATTAAGTATTTAGATTTCTTACATTGAAGTAACAAGAAGTTGACATATAGTTTACATTTTACATTTTTTTTAAAATTATATATAATACATATTTTTTTTACCCAAGAAATTATGGAAATGATTGCTGTACATTTAAGTATGGTAATG